TGGTAAATTATCTAGACTGACGGGAAATGTTACTCGCCCACATACAAGCCAAATGTGCATCCCRTGCAGCTGCAGACCTCGATAATTTATATTATTATGTAAAAATATAAATTATGATATAACATTATAACATTGGTTCTTGGAACTTTTGTATTGATGTATAACCCCACACCTTGTGTACCCCTATCAATGATCTTTTATAGTCGTATGACCACATGATTTCGTGTTTCYCTAATGTTAATGATTTCCACGAAATGCTGTCTCTCCTACATTTACAAAGTTCGTCGCACCCTACCCTAGCTTGGTTCAGCTAGTACCTAGTTGACCGTGAACTATACAATGCGGGACGYTAGTCCATAGCACATGCATATACTGTAATTTATTGCAGTTTAGTATAAAAAACAATGTGTATTTTTGGTTGGAATACGACTAGTGTGGTGGAAGATAAATTTCTCTTATCATCCCGATTTTTTTCCAAAAAATTATCAATTAAATCTTTTTCACTACATCTTACGATATTGTAAAATATTAAAACAACAAAATTGATTTGTTAGGTACTTCAAAAGTTAACTCTGAGAGACAACTAATAACTATTTGGTAGACCAGAACAATGAGCACTAATATCGACCAATTTAGATAGTAGAAGTCAACCAATTGAATATTCATATTATCTATCATATAACAGGCTAGTTAATATAATTTGGTCATTCTAGATTATTTGATAAAAACACTTATTATTTGGCACGATTTGACTCTCTGGACTGCCACAAAACAATAAAAAGTATAATATTACCAATAATAAAAGTCTATTTATTAAAACTTACACCAGCGAGTACCTATGTACTATTACAAATAAACAAGCACTCAAAAGCTTAAACCATACTGCTTCCACYGGAGAATCTGAACGTATTTTGAATCATAGAGACGCGTAGCACGAGGGCAATAATAATTTATGTGGCGCGGTGATGATGATTTTTATGATGGATCAATGGGATAAGTATTAGATYTGTCGGTCGTGCGCAGTCAAAGTTACCTCCAACGTCATTAAGTTAAAAATTTTACGAAACAGTAGTATTAATTATTAAATAATGAATAATAATAATTATGAAGATGCGTCGTGTCCGTCTCTGTTTCGGTAGTGCACCAGACGGGGCTTACCGGACCACCGCGCTCCACGAAATTATGGCTTCATACTGTAGGTCATTTCGCACGGTTGCAGTGCACCACGGTGGCGTGTGGAGTGTGGCCATGCACCTTTTCTTATTCTCGTGGATGGACATCACACGCATCATGCGGTCTAGCACCATCCGGTCCCAGCATACAGACCGTGGGCGGTCTCTTTGCCGCTGCCAGCCCTGCCGACTCATAGTCCGCACCCGGAACACCATGTCCGGTGGCCCGGCGTGCTGTGTGGGCTCATCTGGGTTGAACACCTTGAGCACAGCCACTTGAATGCCGTCCATCGTCGGACGGGCCACACACACCCAGTAAAGCCGGTTGCCGTCCTGGACGTTCCTCGTCAGGTAAGCCCGGCGCATAGAGCCTTGCAGCCCGAATGTCAAATCCGGCATCAGGAACTGATTTTCCTGCGACCACGTCATACACCAAAGCTCAAAGCTCAGTTAAATAGGTATTGAATGCTTTGTGATATTTTAAAATTTATTTAGGGATTGGATTTTAATGCGAAATCTATTATGTTTTGAGTGCTTTTTTGAAAATATGTTTCAACATCATAAKTATTTRTTTTGAATACAACAGATACCTAAGAGGAGAAACTTTTATCTTGCATTTTTAAGAATKTTCATGTAATTAATGGATACATGAATACATTGTGTAATCTTTTAGTGTAAAATAGGAAATTTCATATGTAAAATCAAGAATATATATTATTCTCAAATCAATTATTTTGCTTTAATAGTTTTTAAGTAACTTTCCCTTGTAACAAATGTCTAATATCATTCTAAATATGAAATCAATAATGTAATTATCTCAAGCGATTATCKGATTTGGTATCTTACGGGTCCTCCAAAAAGTTAGCGACTAATTTATTGATGAGTAGGAGAAACATCGCGATCATCGCATTTATTTCTTATATTTTATAGGTATTCTTTAATGTGCGTGACTAAGTTTGGTAGTTGGTTTTTGTATTATTGTAAGTTTAATTCAGATAATGTATTTAATATGCCGAGAGCTACATTATTGTATTTTTATTGGCTACGTGCGTATAAAAATAGGAGTTAGGTACCCATTTCCGCCAAAAGTGTACCTTTCCCTTTTCCCCCAAATTCTCTTTTCCAGCAAATCAAAAACATTTGTRTATTAAAACATAAAATTAAAATTGTTTTGTATATTAAATACAGAATTTATAATAATAGTTTTTCTTACTACTGTTAAAAAGTTTTTACTATAATGATATACACATGTAACGTACCATTTTAATTTTATATGTAAATTATAATATGACTGACATAGTGACATGTATGTGAAATAACAATAAAATTATAATTTATAATATTTAATAACATGACTGGCATGTACATTGTACATTGTATATAATAATATTTAAATATTATTCGAATATTTGACTGACTTTTTGATTTGGCTGAAAAGTGAATTGAGGGAAAAGGGAAAGGTACGATTTTGGCGGAAAAGATAATTGAATAATTTATGATTTGGTGGAAAAGAGAATTTTGGGAAAAGGGTAAGGTACACTTTGGCGGAAACCCTATAAAAATATTTTGTTATTAATATTTAAGTGCTTTATTGCGTTGAAAAGGCATTTTTTGAACATATTTTGATAGTTTTTATGGTATTTAAACTAAAAATCATATTTTAGAGAAGTAGGCGATGCCGTTACTATAAAATAAAGAATACTTAGAAAAACAAAAATAATAAATCGTCATATTAAAATTTGACTATGGTTCATATTTTAATCATATGTTTATTATTATTAAAATTGTATGTGTGATTCTATTATCAAATATTATTTGAAGTAAAAAAAAAAGCATTTAAATAGTATGCAACACTATATAGTATATATACCTATTTAATATTTAATTATTGTAAGAAATAATATCGAAACATTCAAAACGCATTACAGAATTCAAATTAAAAAAAAAATTGTATCTATTTAAAAAGAAAATCCTAAACAAATGTTAGGTATTCAATAAAAAAAGGATTTAAAATACCAATGCAAATACTTAACGCTAAAAGTTTATAAAGAAGTGTAGAATATTATAACCTGAGTATTGGAATACTTTTACAGTTTTACTTAAATAGTTTACAAGTTTTTACATAACAATGTAATTTGTATTTCCATAATATTAGAATAATTGAACGACAAAAAATCATTTTTAAAAATGAATAAATAAATAATTTTACAATTATATATTTAGTATGTTCCTAATGCCCGTATGCATAGTTATTTTATGTATCACATAAAGCATATTTATGTGACACATAATTTCATTTAACAATTTTTTCTTGCATAGTTATATTTATGTGTTACATAGGCTTTAAACAAACACACATAGTTATGTGCTCAAATTCCGCCCCACAATTCTTAAGTGATACATAAATTTATTATTTTTTGTGCTCAAATATAAGTTTCAAATAGTTGTATTATAAAATATAGTAGTATGTACGATTTTAATGCCTTTGTTAATTATGTGACAATGGTTTATGAATATTTCGACGATTTTGATGTTGAACAAATTCCAAGAAGGTATATTCGTAATATGGAAGACCCGTTTAAAAAATACAATGACAATACATTTTTKAAACGTTATCGATTTCCAAAACTTATTGTTATGGATTAATTAGTAGATTTATTAGGTATTCACTATAACAATAATCAAGGATTGCCTAACCTCCCATTCTACAGTTGTTGACAACATTACGTTTTTATGCAACAGCAAACTTTCAAGTAAAATACCTACCTAACTTTAATTTTTAAAAATTATTTAAGACATATTTTTTTAAATTTATAGACTGTTTGTGGAGATTTGAGAGGCATTGACCAGATAATAATAATAATATATACTATATTTTTTTTTAATAATAAATAAAAAATAATAATAAAATTAAATAATTAATACATTTCTTTAGGATATGCATGCAAACCTTACATATTTACACCTTTACTTAATCCAGTAACAAATGCAGAGAAAAATTATAATAAAGCTCATATCAAAACCCGTAATATTTTAGAGGGAGTGTTTGGTGTATGTTTTCTGAATTGCTCGTCATTATACAAATTTTAAAATTTTAAAATATTACTTTTATTCGTTATCTCACAAATTTTCACTAATATGAACTTATATACACTGATAACAATGGTTATTATCACATACACTTTTACATAATTATGGAATCATAGGCGTGCGCAGGCCTCTTTTTCAGGATATGCAGAAGGCTGACAATAGCGCGCCCTGAAAGTTAWTTTAGGCTCGTAAAAYKATGATAATATGTATACACAATTCACAAATATTGAAAAAACYTGCTGTTTAATAAAAAAAATATTGTAATAAATACCATTACATAATACAAGAAGTATGAATTTCGCAAATACTTGGTAGTTGATAACTGATAACTGGATGTCTCAATTTTCCAGAGTCGATGTTCGCCCCTCACAGAACTTCAGGGTATGCAGCTGCATACCCTGCATACCCCCTGCGCACGCCTATGTATGGAATACATAAATATCGTTTATGCAAGACACAATTTATGTGGTACATAAAAAATAGTTAAGGGTTACATAAAAATATTATGGGCCACTTAGTTATTGGTCACATAAGCAATTATATGTGACACATAACAACAGGACTATGCATACGGGCATTATGCCATAAAATRAGAAACATATACCTAACTCTAATATGTGCATTGTAATATAATATGACTGAAAAGATTTTATCTGCCAACTATGGTATTAAATGTCCAAAATATTAAAACATTCTCCTTCGCGTGAAAGTTAACTCATAATTTGAGTAGAGCGATAGTATACAATTAAATTGATATTGAGCAAACCATAGATCTCGCTTCCTCATACAACTCGTCGTCACACGGTTAACATCCATGGTCAGAGGATAAAAGCGTACGCAGGGGGGAAGGGTCGTATATAGGTAACAGTGTTGTACATTACCATTACGTCGTAGGCCGAAAACTGGTGGCCTGTGGAAACATGCTGGAACACGTCGCCATAAGCACCCGACCATTGGCAACAGGGCACCATACATCGAACATGCGGGGCGTAAGGACAAAGGGACTCGTGCATAGCGGCCGACAACACGTATARTAGGTAAGGGCASCCGGTCGAACGGTGAGCGCATGTCACCTTTACGACGGACATGAAATCGTTTAGCTTGCGTGCGGCAGCCGGTGGAAGCTGCTCCTGCTGATTCCGTGGTCTCTGCGGCTGCTGCCCTGACGACGACGCGTTTGCCGGCTCCAGTGACGACGCGTTCGCCGGCTCCAGTGACGGCGGTGTCCGCGGCGATCGGCAGGCGTTCCTATACAGACGGTTGGGCGGTGACCGGCACAATGGACACTTGACCGGCGTCTCCGGGTGCAGCCTTCTCATGGTGCGCAAGCACTCGTCGCACAACCCATGCCCATTATCACAGCACGTGGATATGGCGCCGGGCAGTTCTTTGCACACTGGGCATTCGAGCGCATGGCGCACGCCCTCTGATAGCTGTTGGATTTCGCTCAGCGACGCTGCGTACCGGACACGGAAAGGTTCGTCCATAACCGCAATCTCGGCTGATTTTGGCGCGGCTGGGATGGTGTCGTTAATATCGCCGTAACACCCGGCCGTCCAGAGTGACATCAGATTTCGGGACTGGCGACGACCATCCATTTCGTCGTCGCCGTCGTCGTCTTCCGCGTAATCGTCACGTGTCCACTAGGCGGAGACTGCACTCGGGCAAAAACGGAAAACACGAACACTTCAATGGTTCTTCGCCGGGCAATATTACAATATATGTTGTTAACTGCTCGATTATTTATTGTTATATGTGGTTATTATCGCTTCGATCGCGAATCAATATCAAATATTTTTACGGCTCACCGATGGTTGGTCGAGCCGAGTGTTTGTTTTTTTTTCAACCATTCTGACTGCATGCCCACTGTTGCTGGGTGCACCGCTGCCTTGACGACCGCACTAGTGTTTGGCAGCATCGCGGTCTGTCGGCTGTGAGATCCTGCCGAATGTTGTAGGTGGGGAAGAAGGAAGAGAGCCGAAAGAATGAAAAAAAAAACAAATAAATCCACCGCATAGAAAAACGAAAACAAACTGAAAAATTACAGAGTATAAATGAGAGACTATTATGTTTTTATGGACGTCATATCACACAACAATAATAATAATAATATTGTTTGCATATTATTTGCTTAAATTTTTTTTTAATAACGCGTAAAACTGTTTTGATAAACAACGATTTAGAAAAAAATAACGCTTAGAGAACAGATATTTATTGAGAACTTTACATTAATATTTTTTTGAAAATATGCAGTTTCCTAAGAGTTATAGCTGTTGTATAATACCTAATCATAAATAATTTGTAAAAAAAAAAATCAATACACCAATCTCAAACATCTACTGTCACAGAAGTCATGACTAAAAATGTCAAAAGTATGTCAAGTTAAAGGATATTTTATTGGTTCCATGACCTTTTAGTAAGATCTTTTGAAAGAATTAGAACATAACAAATTTTTGGTTGAAAGGTTRAGAACAATTAAAAATTTACAAATACCTGAGCTATTAGTGATTATTAAAACAACTAATACGTTTGAGAACGAATTAATGTGGAACATCTTTAATCATTTAATTAAGGTTGTTAAATATTTTAAACTGAAAATTTAATTGCAAAGACTAATAATCACAATAATATTAAATTGTTATCTTAAGCAGTTATGATAATGACCACATGTTTACCTACACTTATAAAATGTCTGATAAATATTTTAAAAAGGCGGGTAAGTCGTGGATGTCGCTCTGCTGTACAGTAGGTTACAAGTGGCTTACTGTAATGGATAGAATTAAATTTGAATCAAATGATTTATATCATTGTATACGAAAAACGATTCAGAGCGAAGACGGTTTATCTTTCTAGGATATATTATAGATTATTATTTTTATTATTATTCAAATCTTAGGTTTAAAAAGAAACATTTTTAATACTTTCAAGTTTTAAATAATTTGCGAATTTTCGTGATTTTCGTGATTTTTACATAATATGTTGTCAAAATTCAAGCATTCAATGCTTGTAAAAAAATTTGTGAGTATATATTTCTTTTATTTTTCAACTACTATTGTAAAAATATGTTAGGAGCCTTGTATTAAATTTTCAAATCTTAGAATTAAAAATAAAAACTTTTATGAAATTCTATGAAATTCTATCTAAGATAATTTACGATTTTCATGATTTTTACGTACGTTGTCAAAACTCAAACTATAAATGTTTTAAAAAAAAAAATCGTGACTCTGTATTTCTTTTATTTTGTAACTGCTATTGTAAAAATATGTTAGGAGCCTTGATATAAACATTCAGAGAAATTTTCAAGTATCTGCGGTCATTTGTTTTAGACTTTTAGAGTTACACCAAAATAAGAAAATC